CTTGTTTATTTTGCTGTTCGTGCTGCCACTGTTGCAGGTTTTCTTCCCATTACTGCTGTCTCTCTTCTTGTTTCTTTTCTCGTTCTTCTTGTTTCTTTTTTTCCTCCAACAACTGCTGTAGTCTCTCTTGTTTATTTTGCTGTTCGTGCTGCCACTGTTGCAGGTTTTCTTCCCATTACTGCTGTCTCTCTTCTTGTTTCTTTTCTCGTTCTTCTTGTTTCTTTTCTTTCTCCTCCAACCACTGCTGTAATCTCTCTCTTGTTTATTTTCTCGTTGTTCTTGTTTCTTATGCTGCCATCAAATCTGCTAAGCTGTAGTTTTATTTGCCACTTCTCGTTTCCATCTTCTTTTTTTTTCTTTTCTGTCCCACTCTCTGACACCAATTTGCTACATCTCTGGTCATTTGTTAATTTCCCGTAAAAATTATTTCCGAAGAACTTCAGCGATACAAGTCCTTTCTTAAATAAAACTAGTTTATTCTTTCTCAATACAACTTTGCAATACACTTAATTTCCACAGTCCCTTTAACTTAAACACACGCTATAATTCACAACGATTCACGCACTTTACTTACGGTCACTACCGCTCACTTGACTTGATTATCTGTCTCTATATCTCCCTATCTGCAATTATATCTCCGCTTTATTTGCCAGCTTATATACAAAAATAGAGGGCGTCTGGCAAACACTAGAGTTGTCAGGATCAGTCATGATTCTTCTAGAAACTCATCAAGTGTTACCAGTGTCACGTGACTTCCACTGTCATAACAATATATTCAAGAAGTTGCTATAAACTGTATTATACACGGTACACGAGTAAGCCTAGAGGACATATGTCCAAGCTTATGACCTCAAGATGTTTACAAAACCATTTACTTCATTATAAGTAAAGATGAAGAAGTAATAAGCTCAATAAATAAGTTAATTTTATTGAAATATGCTTTTAGCAACGCTACGATACAGTTTCTAGGCAGCTTGAGGACTGTGGAACAGATAAAGAAATAACTAACATAAAATTACTTTTTAATAGAGTATAACTAGCATACATTTTGGTAAGCTTTAAAGCCCCAGAAGAAGCATTGTTAATACTGCGGTAATACATAAAATAAGTGTTAAAACCAATGCAAGTAGGTCTAATAAACGTTACAGATTAGGCGTAGTAGATATTTCACTACAGATTAATGTTTGAGGTAGTAGATCTAATAATGTTTGAAGAGTGATATTATGCTATTTCTGAAGGCTCTCTTATATCGGGATTTTTATCTAAGAAAACTATGAAAGCACTCAGAATAAGGTATTTTATATCAACAAGTTCAAATTAACTTGTGAAATTAGCGGAAAATGTGAAACGAATAAATAGAACTAAATACATTTAAAGAAACTGTGATACGATTAAGCTGAAAATAGAAAAGAGGAAACTTTCAAGTTTAAAATCACCAGAGAAAGTGCACCCCAATTCTAAGATATGTAAAATTAAAACGTCTATTTGTCATGAGTCTTTTTTTTCTGTGGTACAAGTTTCCACTTTTTTGTTATCAATTAGATAACAGATGAAGCTAGTTGATATTATATTTGATAATAATTTACAAAATTGTATAAGATTCTTAATAATCTAAACAAACTATAGTAAAATTAAACTAAAGTAAAATTTGCTCATCTTATATCTGTTGTACTTAAAGGTGGAATTCTATAGTTTTCAGAATATTTTTTAACTTTTTATTTATGCCATAATTATATGCATGTGGTTTCATTGTGAATTTTGATATTGTTGTTGCTTTCAGAGCAAAGCTGCACAGTAGGTTATATGTACTTTGTCCAATAGGTTATATGTACTTTGTCCACCGCGGGGAAATGAACCCCAGATTTAAGCATTGAAGTCAAAGTCTGGAACTTACCACGGACCTACTATTGGACGTGCATTCTAACTACTCTATATTCTATTATTTATTCATTGATTGGCTTATTTTTACACATTTTTTAAATTTTGTGTCATTTTAAAAGTAAATTAAAGCATAAAAATTCGTAAAAGTTGAGATTAAAATACTATACTGTTGCTATTTCTGTAGTTAATTTCTCTTTAAGATAACTATAATTTTTAGAGCATTTGTTTTTAACTTTCATTTACGGTAGTAATTTTCATGTATCTTATATTATTTTTAGAGAACAACACTAGTATTGCTTAATTTTAACTCGTATTATAATTTAATTTTCAAACAATTTGCCATTTACTATTAAAAATTGAAAAAAGTATGGAAACTTCAAAATAAAATAAAATCATATATCTCGAGATGAATTATTCTACGCAGTTTCTGTGTTTTGAGTTACATGCGCCATCTATTCATTACATAGAAATGGCGGAGAAAGCTCAAGCGACAGGAGCATCAGCTCAACCTCTAGTTAAAATAGGCCATTATATACTCGGTGAAACGCTTGGTGTCGGGACATTTGGCAAAGTGAAAAGTAAGTGAGATATCTAATCAGCAACATTTTTAGTGTCGTATGTTTATTAGTATGTATTAATTTTCGATTTTGTCTTCCTTGTTGCCCTCGGTATATCCGCACTATTACTACTACTGCTGTTACTACTAAATTTTGTTAGCAACTTCTGAAGTAAAGCTTTCCTCGCAGGGGTGATCGATAAACAGTGAAAACATCGTGTTTCGCGAGAACATACATCTGAAAACTAAAGAAAGATAATTTTGAAGTTATTTTAAAAGAACAACAGCTGAGCAACGACATAGTACAAATATTCTCGTAACTAACGAAATGCAGTTGGAAAAGCTTACAAACGCTGCTGAACTCTCTTGCTACATTAAATATTCTCATTGGAAATAATATTCAAATTGTCATAGTAAATTAGAACACCACTATTTGTAAGAAAATTATTATTATTATTTTCCATTTAAGTTTGTTTAGTTAGTTGTTAATTAGATTTCTATGTAATGATGAATTAAAAATACATGCTGTGATTTCAATAAGACAACCCATGTCTCCATGCTCAAACAATTGTCATTTTTCTGTCTTAATGTAAGGTCTTTTACGTCTGTTTTCATCTGTTGATGAACAAGTTCATGTGTCTCAACTAATAAGACCTTAGTTACTTCACATATACCTGGGAACATTGTGGCACTTTTGTACTGAGAATTGGACCATATATCACACCTACTTGGAGCTGTACTTAATGGCTAAACACCAGTAAGTTCAGTTAACTGTTTCTCTGTTACTTTACATCCCATCATAATTTATGGCAGGTGTTCATCCCAGTCAGTTCAGTTGTAATTTACAAACTCTGCTAGTGTATGCTTGACTGTCTAGACAACTTGTTTATCCAGACCATCAAACTGAGGATGGCATGATGAAGTGTGCATATTCACTGTACCTAACACCTTAAACAAATTTCGAAAGAACTAGTTGTTAGAGTTAGCTTCATAATCTTTGAATATTCCATATGCTTTACATTGTGCTATTTAATGTTCATCTCACCATTTGTGAACTGAGATGGTAACCAGTAGATAAGTTTCAGCCTACTTGATGAACAGTCAGTAATGACCAGCATATATTAATTGCTATTATAAGTTTAGATGAGGATCAGCTATTCTCAGAAATGAGGAGCTACTTCTCAAGTGGAGTTTCCCCTAGTGAGGCTTATGGCTTTTCATCTGAGCAACATAAACAGTATAGTGCTTATACCACTCTTCAATACCTTGATAACAATTAAACCTGGGTGATTAATTCATTTAATCATTTATAATTGATTACCTATAAGCATCAGTTAGTGTCTCATAGAATAATCGATTAATTGAACTTACAATTAAATCAATTAATGTCACAAAAATAATCAAGTAGTGTTTTGGATTATTACTTTTTTTGGTTTGTGTTTAAGTACTTTTTAAATAAAGAAACATGATTGCTTCCTTTTACATGATTCTGAGCTAGATGTTATTAAGTATACATGCTTATAATAAAGTTATAAAAAATTACTGTGCTTTATTTAGCATCAATAATATCTTTGGCCTGACTATTTCATAGTGACAATGTATAGAACAGCTTGTATGCATATCCTGTTATTGCTGAAATTGTTGGGTTGCTGAGTTGTAATTGCATAAGAAATACAATATTTCATGGTTACATAACTAGAAAGAATATATCCTTATTTAGGTATATTTAAATAATTTTTCTAATTTTAAGTTTTTGTTGAGGTGTTCTGTATGTAATTAGTTGACATCTTGTGAATGAGATTTAGATAATAAATTTGTGCAAGTCCTTTCTTATAGTCAAAAGTTGTATACCACAACTGTTGTTCAGTAAGGTTTATACTTACTTGACACTTTTAGAATGAGGTTGTACTCATTTTAAAGGGTGGTATAGACACTTGTACAAGTTAATATGAATTGAGAGTTTGTCTCCCTTGAAAATGTATAATGGGATTGATCATTAGCTTAAGCAATCTAGGATTGAGGAATACCACACTAGGACTGTTTGACTTAAAAGAGTGGTATTATGATTCCTGTTGCTATTCTTAATATAGTCATGCATCCTACTTGTTCCAGCAGCCACCTGCAGTTACTTTATATGGTAAATATGAATTGACCAGTCTAGGTAGACACAGCAAAACTTTGTTATTGTACTAATAAAGATTTTATTTGTTCTCTTGTGGTTTCCTTCTTTGTTATTCAAGTTCAGTTTATTCTGTACTTAATATTTACTGAATCTGCTTTGTATTGTAAATTACATATAATTTTATTTTTGAAATCAGTGTTTCCTAATGTGTGTATCCATTTCAAAATACTAAGTTAAGTAATACAAGCATGTTTGATCTTGAGACAACTTCTGTACTGCAGATATTAAATCACACTTCAGTTCTCTTAATGTGGATCTACTACCCCCTCCCCCCAAAAAAGAAAAAATAAATTATATGCAGAATAGTGTACTGTTACAAAACATTAAGTTTTGGTGATAATTACTAAATTAAGATCATGATAAAAGTGGTAGCTAAATTTGAAATGCTTACACTACTTAGTATGTGTATATCTGAATTTTGTGAACATGTCAGGGAAGTTTCATGTTTGATTTTATATATGTATTTCCACTGGAACTATAGATGATCTGTATTGATACAGACACTGCACCCACTTTTCATACCAGTGCAATGTAGGTCAAGGATCTAAATTATCAGATGTAAGTTATGTAGTGGTGAAAGTTTTGTACAGAAGTTTGACCTACTTTTTTTTTTTATGAACTTAAAAGCAAAATAGTTTATGAACACCATCTGTAACAAGCCTTATTGATTAAGCCTTGTGTACACCCGTAAATATGTTAGCCATGCTTAAAGCACGCAGTATAAGATCTGTTTCTATAAAAACACAACCTGTAGGAGGATGTTCCATAGGTAAACACCAACTGGGTATAATGAATAGTGATAAACAGCTCAAGTTGAATGTTTTGGTGAACTCATCTATAATACTAAGCAGACTTAAAGATAAGTCATTAATGTTTGTGTAACAAGTTAAAAAAATGCACACATAAAATGTTCTTTTGTCTTAAGTATGTATAAATATAAGTGGTAAGTATGCAATAAAAATTTCAAAAACTATTATAGCAGTAAGTTTTCAGAGTTATAATGCTAAAATCAGGGGTTTGATTTTCCTCGGTGGCCACAGAAGATAGCCCATTGTAGCTTTACTATAAAAAACACGCACATTGTTATAGGTAGAACATCCTAAAAAAAGTAAACATTGTTCACTACAGCTGATCATTATTCAGTATCAGAACCTTACACATGTTTTTGTATTATTGCATTTCAAAACAAGCAATGGTTGCTGGATGTTAAAAAAAGCATGCCCTATAAGTAAAACATTGCATCTCCATTAATCAAATCATATTTTAGTTGAAGAGAGCTGCCCAAGATTGTGAAAAAGTACCTGCTTATGAATAAAAAGCAATAACTTAAGAATGTTTTTTTTTAATCTGGTTCATCTATGTGTCACTATGGATCTTGAATTAAAGTTTGTTTTCCACCTTGTACTTTTTAATCTTTGCGCAGTATACTGATATGAATCAGTGCAGTTGGATCATTAAAAAAGACTCACTATAAGTTGGTGTACCTGTTTGTTTACCAAGTCTCAGTGTTGAAAATGATAGATATATAGATTGGCTAATAGCCAACTTGTGTACTGTACTTACAGTGTGTGTGTGTGTGTGTTATATAGGTCGAAAAACTGCCTGTTATCTGTTATAGAGACATACATACTTCTAGTCCCTTCTCCTTATAAATATTGCTTGTGTACATGTATATCTGGATGTAAAGGTTGCTTAGGACTTTGTATATTCTACAAGTATACAATTCGAGTAAATTAGTTACGAAATGTAAATACTGACACCTGATGATATTCCTTACAATATGCTTGTTCTTTCAATTAGTTAAAGTGATAGTGATTATAGTATGGTGGTAATAAATGAAGTATTATTCTTATTTTAACTCATTAAAGTGATAATGATTGAAATATAATTCTTAGTTTAAATCATTAAAGCGATAATGATTGAAATATGATTCTTTCTTTAAATTATTAAAGCGATAATGATTAAAATATGATTCTTATTTTAACTTATTAAAGTGATAAAACAGTGGACAGTGCTGTTGAAAATGTCACCCAAACATTTTTCAAATGCCACACTGTCATTGAAACTTTGGGGACTTGAAGATGAAACAGTGGACAGTGCTGTTAAAAATGTCATTGCCAGATTGTTTTAAACATGGCACTGTCCACTCAAACTCCAGATTTTTTCAAACTATGTTTTGAAAGTTTCTAACATGTTTATAAAAAAAAAATGCTTTGCCACCTTGACATGTTGAAATTAGGTATAGAGCTGGGCTATTAACTCAATTAATATAAGTGATTAATTATGGGCTTCAACTACATCAATTAGTGTCACTTGAAATAATGGATTATTAAAAGTTATAATTATCTGAATATGCATGGGCTCAGTCCATTGGACCAACCCTGTATAGGAAAAGGAATATTGACTATAATGCTGAATTTACTGTTTGTATCTACATATAATATGGAAAGTTTTGAAAAAACATAAAATTCTGTTGTACACAAGAAATCAAATGTGTTACAGAAGTATTTTTACTCAAGACATGTCTGTGAATTGATGATATCATTCTCACTCAAACTTTACAAGGTGATATTCATGTAAAGGCTAAATAAAAATACTTTTGTCCATCACATAGTTTGCATATTGCAGTTGTGCAACCTATAGAACCTTGGAAATACATATCTACAGTTTTTTTTTGGTATCCCTGTATATGTCTAGTGTGTACTCTCCTTTACCATGAACTGTTGCTAAATCAGCATTGTAGGGTAAAATAGATAGTTGATAACTCTTGTCATCAAATACATAATACCATTGTGATTGGCACAGTTTAAAATGTTGTGGCATGCACATTTTGAATCCCATCCATGCACATAGGGCTAAATTGATTAATATCACAAAAATAATCAATTAACTGAAATCAGGGTTTCCAATCATTACTGTTTTCAATACTCTAACTACCCAAATTATTAAAATAATTCTATAATGATTTCTTATTTTTTTTTAAATTAATTCAAAGTTATTCAGCTTAATAGATTACTAGCACAACTCATGAAAGTAATCAAAATTAGTGTTTCCAGTTATTACTGTTATTGATTATTCTTATTGTCCAAGTCTTGTATGAGAATAATCGATTAGTTGAATGTAATTGATTAATAAGTCTGATAATTAAATGATTATCAAATCTCACTAATTGCCCAGCTATACATAGGTGTGTTACTGCTGTTCATGATAAAAAGATTCATAATTTTTTCTATATGTTTAACTTAATTTTCCCATTTGGCATGCTCTACATCTGGGATACATTTGAGTTTCCTTATTAGTGGTTTACAATATACAGTTTGTGATTATCACTTACTAAAATCAGTGATTTAATTTTTACAACCTGTATGATCTACACCAATCTTGTAACTTATAACAATATTAAGTAATGTTATCTTAAAACTAAATTATTTATTGCAGGGTGAATTTTGGATTATAAAGTAAATTATACATTCATAAATAGTATTTCTATGATCTCATTGGTAATTTACCTTCGAATCATAAAATTAACCTGGTACTTGCATACTAACTAGAGGTTTGATTTGATACACAAATATGTTTCATTAATAAGCTCCATATTTTGGTGACAGTGTTTTCTTTTTGATTGTGGAATCTTGTAATGTTCGTTTTGTTTTCTAGCTGCTCGCCATCAGCTTACTGGTCACAAAGTAGCTGTGAAGATCCTTAACCGACAGAAAATAAAAAATCTTGATGTCGTCGGAAAGATCAGGAGGGAAATCCAGAATCTCAAACTTTTTCGACATCCTCACATCATTAAGCTGTAAGTAACTCGGCAACATAGTGTTTAACTACTGTTGCTTTTATTATTTCACTCTTACCCAATTTAAAGGTGAGTCACTTTATGACACATTATTTTAATAGTTTAGTTTTGTATAGTAAAACTTCCTTCTTGTAAACTGGAAGCCTCAATTGTGAATCATTATAATAGTTCTTTAAAGAATGTTAAGGGTGTGAAAAATAGTTTATGTTCTGTTTACATGTAGATTTTATTAATTGTTCTTAAATGACATTTAAATACTATAATTATATAACTATAAGACAACTCTAGTCTTTTATGGAGTTATTAAAGGTAAAATATTTAAGTATATGTTTAAGACACTATAGATTTTAAATACATGTGTTTAAAGTAATTTTTTTATCACAAAAATCCCTTCCTAAAATGTATATTTATTGTCTTGATTCAGAAAATAATTCTACATTTGTTTCTTACATCTGTAGCTTCAATTTAGTTGCCAAATTGGTTTAGTAACAGTTTAAGTAACTTATATTTACTTCCACATTTTGTGGAAAGTTGTTTCAAGGCAAATTCGCTTCTGATGAATCTTATTTAGAAACACTCTTAGGGATGTAAGTATTTATTAAGTGCAAAGTATACCTAACTCATGTGGCACGTCCAAGCTCGTTTGCTGATGTTGTGTTACTTTTCAATAATTCATCTCTATGAAAGTTTGCTCTGCTATCATTTCTATGTTGAATTATATTTTGACATAAGAAAATTTGTCTCCTAACTCAGGTACCAGGTGATAAGCACTCCAACTGACATCTTTATGATCATGGAGTTTGTGTCTGGTGGAGAGTTGTTTGATTACATTGTCAAGCATGGTAAAGTGAGTATAAATTTGATGAATGTCTTCTTAACCCTCTTAATTACTAATTTAAGAATCAGCAAAGTAACATCAAGGATGTGAATTTTAGATATTAGAAATTAATTAGTCTTGACATTGTAAGACTTTATTTGAAAGTTGTAATTCTGGCATACAAGACTATGACATGGAATACTGTCTTTTATATTAACATTCTTATATTACAGTTAAAGGAGTCTGAAGCACGTAGGTTCTTCCAGCAGGTTATTTCTGGTGTTGATTACTGTCACAGGCATATGGTTGTACACCGTGACTTGAAGCCTGAAAACCTCCTGTTAGACAGCAGTCTTAATGTAAAGATTGCAGACTTTGGTAAATTATTCTTCCACTATCTGATTATGCTGGTAAAGTAGCAAATTTACTTTAAAATTCTGATTCTAAGTAGATTTAGAGAATAATGAAAGAACACAATATTGTGTAGCAGTTAAAAAAATTAGTGAAGAAAAATAAAATAAATGGAACAAGCTATTGGAAGACTTGAAATTAGAGAAACTTGTTTTGATACATTTGTTCATTCTCTTTTTTTATTTTTCTGGGCCAGGAAAGTTGATCACTTGAAATTCCCTTAACTCTTTCAACCTGGGCTCGGTCACTGGGACCGACCTCGTTACCGTTTTGTGCCTGTTATAGTTTTTATGCTATAACTTTTAAATTAGTAAGCAAATCTTAATGAAATTTGGCAATTTATCAGTAAACATTACAATGCTTTCATACACAAAATATCTATTTTTTTTATTAAGTCTTTATGTCTCTTTTTTTCTTTTCACATCTTGTCTATCTATCATGCAAAGTAATTTTCATTTTAAGATTAAAAAACCTTTATGTATCAGAAAATTTTAAAATTTCACATGAGAAATCTTTATAATATCCAGATAGTCATCAAACATTTCTTAAGAAAATACTTTATATTTTATCTGTTATTTTCAGTAATCAATCTCTGTACGTGTTCGGTAAATTTGACTGATCTCGCAACCACCATAAAAATTAGGATATAAACATAAATTATGCCTCTTTCATTTGAGAATGAACACAAATTATAATACTAAAACATAAAACAAAATAGCTTAAATCTCATAACATTATATATTTATATATATATATACAATATTTTTATTATATTGACCTTTCACTTGTGCCTGGCTAACAATACAGAAGTTACAATGATGCGGCTCACGTGCACTCATGTTACCGTATCAAATAACATAAAAGTGACCTTTGGTCTGTACAAAGTAACTTGTCTTGACTGTGTTTTAGTCGACCAGTATTTTGTAAAATACAGTCACAATTCAATTATTATACATTATATATGTATATAGATTATTGCTATTTGAAATAAGTTCTTAGTTATTTTTCCTAAAACATAGGACAGTAAATAAAAAAAAATAAAGCAAACAATTATCTCTTGTTATGACTTTTGTACTCGGTTACCGCTTGATGTAGGTTGCTGAGCCTTTAAAAATTTTGCACGTAGAGGATATGAAACAAAATATTTTTTTTAGGTTTTATATATAC